AACTCAGACCATGCAGCCCCAAACCTTGCCTGACGAAAATGTTTAGAGCTTAGTGATAACTCAGAATTCTTTGTGAGGATTTGAAAGACTTTTAACTAAAGCAAGGAAGGTAATGTTGCCGTAAGAGCTGCTGAAAGTACAAAAATAAAGGTATAATAATTCCTGCAGCAAAACCAAATATGTAAATGGAAAGCGAATATAGACAGCTTGGGGATGGACTTAAGATAAAATGTAGCACATAGAAAAGCCATTCCCTGGCCTGGAGTTAGCACCACAGGGTGGGACTTGGACTGGGAATCTAAGCAGACAGTCAGCAACCACTTGCCAGCAACCTAATAGCCAGGCCTGGAGCAACAATGGCAAGAGTCCAGGAAACAGAGGACCCCCTGTTTCTGAAGCCATGTTATCCTGTCTTGAGCTACTCTGTCCATTATAAATGAGATGCTGGTTAATACACTTGGAGTAAAGGAATTGGTACTAGGAAGTATAAAGAAGCAAACTACAATGGAATTCCATCAATGGAAATTGGTTGTTTACCAAATAGTTCTCTTTATCTCTTATGCTCACAGACAAATGACTTTCCTGAATCTTCCTTTTATTTAAGTGCAGCCATGAGCCTGAGTTCTGGGCAGAATCCCTTCTTCAGGCTCCACCCATAAATCCCTCCCATGGTTGATCCTCCATCCTTTGAACACATCTGTTGGTAGGAAAGAATTCTGTACACGTGGACGACCAACTGGAAATGACCCAAGAATCTGAGATGCCCCTTGGAGCAGAACATCTCATAAAACAAAAACAAACAACAACAAACAAAATTTACCCAACCAGGAACACCTGCCTCAGACTGTTGTGTTAAAGAGAAATACATTTTACTGTTACAAGACATGGACATTTTCCAGTTTTAGAACGACTCAAACACAGGGCTGCTCACAGGCCATAGTAGTGATTTGTGCATATTTTGCCTGCTCAGTATTCCAGACCCCATTCTCCTAATATCACCCTAGTGTTCCCAGGAAACCTTTCCCATGGTTAGTTCATGTGGTCAGCGGGTTGAGCCCCATCTCCCTGCAGATTCAGAGGTGAGCACATGACCCACTTACCACAATCACCATATCAAATCCCCTCCTCCACAGTGATAAATGGGCCCTTAACCCAAATCGAGCCAGTTAAGATGATTCCTATGATTTTTGTCTATGTTACAAGGAAATAAACATATTTCACAAGGTTTGCAATTGTAAGAATGTCATTGTGGAGATTGCAGGCTTCCATGTGGGGAATGCCAGGCAGAGAAAGCAGAAATAAGAGAAAGTTTTTTGGTGACATTGTTTGAACACCTCAGTCTAGCCATATCTGAAGCAAAGTGTCTGTGACATTTTGAGTTACATTAGGATATACACTTCCCTTCCAATTGGTCAGTATTTTTATTTCATTTTGTTGCTATGACAAATTACCAAGAACATAGTGGCTTAAAACATAGAAATTATTCTCATATAGCTCTGGAGGTCATCGGTCTGAAATCAGGTGTACAGGGCTGAAGTCAAAGATCTGGCAAGGCTGGTTCCTTCTGGTTTCCTTACTTGTTCCTGATTTTGTCGGCTGCCTGTAGCCCTTGCCCATGGCCCCTTTCTTCATGCTGAAAGCCCAGAGTGCAGCATCTTGTCTCTTCTCTGACCCCTGCCTCCCTCTTGTAAGGAACTTGTAGTGATGCTGGGTCACCCAGGTAATCCGGAATAATCTCCCTATATCACAATCCTTAACTCAATGATATCTACAAAGTCCCTTTGCCACATATGAATGACTCTCCTGAATCTTCCTTTTATTTAAGTGCACCCAGAAGGCATAACATATTTGTGTCTTCTGGGAATTAGGACATGGATATCCTTGGGGAGCCATTATTGAGTTTAGCATAGCCAATGTGATTTGAATTTTTGTACTTAAGCCCTGACGACTTTCTCTGAATTTTTAACCTGTGCTCCTTAAATCTTACAGAACCTGTGTCTCTAAATTACGGTCCCAGCCTAAGCTGCAGGAAGAAGAAGGAGGAGAATGTGTATTGGAGCAAGAAATAAGCAGGCCATTATGTAGGAAAGTATAAAACACCTAAGTTCACAGAGGGCCCCTCATAAACTTTTGAAAGGCAGGCTGTGTACTGTGTGTTTTGTAATTGGTGCTGGCCTGCCGCTGGGATATTGCCTCTAGACGGGGTTAATTACCTTTGGACTTCCTTGCAGGCAATCTTTTAATTTTCCTATAATTTTAAAGGTAACCATTCTTTATAATTAGGGTGCCATGACAATTTATCATCTAAATCAGAATATATTTGAAGGGAAAAAAAGGTGCTTTTTAAAATTAATCCAGAATAACAGGCATAAATTGGACACTGCAGGGAAGCCAGGATATGAGTTTACCCTACTAATAATAAGACATAGTAACATATTATCTAAACTAACTTGTTCAAGTTCCTGGAAAGATTTCTGCTCTCCAGAAAATACAAGTATGTAAAGGAAAAGTCAAAAATTACTTTTTGTATATTTTTTCCCTTGAGGATGAACATAAATCATAAACTCATTTAAGACATTGGACTTTTTTATAGTCTGTAATAGTGGAAAAGTATCTAATATGGTGGAAACTATTCAAGTATTAAATACATTCATCCATTAATTTACTCATCCAGAAATTATTTAATGAGCACTTGTATGTACACCAGCCACAGTGCTAGGACTCGGACAAGTTATGGCCATGACAGAGGTTTATGAAGACAGACAGCTGGGTGAACAGGGGGGAAGACACAGAGGGGCCTTCTGACAGGATCAGGAAAGCATCTGACACATTAATAGGAGAGGAAGAGGTTCACGGTTTATTTTGATTTAAGAGGTGTGAAGATGGAGAGGTTATTTGAAGGAGATGGTGGTTGGGTCCAGATCTGGAAAAGCCAAGAATGAGATGTGGGCATCTCATTTGTACTCAGCAGTGAATCAGCAGGGGTGCTGTCAAACTCAGAAGGATGTGATCAGCTTTACCTTCTAAGAAGGCAATTCTGAAGCCTGCAGGGAACCAGAAGATCATGGGGAGGAGTTCGGTATAGAAATAGCCATGACAGCTAGAGGTCTTTCTGAGTAATTACTGAGTGATGGCTGCTATTATGTGTTTTTTATCATTTAAATTCATATGTGTCCCTCCAACTTCTTAAACTTGTGACAATTGCTGGCCTGTGTTTTAGAGGAGAACACCAGTGTGGCAAGATATTGAGTAATTACTTAAGGCCAAACAACTGGTCAATAGTGTTGCTTGGATTCAAACATAATCTGTCTGCTTTAGGTCTGCAGCAGTCACTGCATACTACCACTACCCCATGTGAATGATAACCTGAACTAAGAGAATGAATGTGGCAATATGGAGAAGAGACACGGTTTGGAAGAGGACATCTCTCATCTTTGAGTTTTGATAGCCCCTTCTTCTGAGCAATTGTTTGCAGAATATAGGGTGACAAAAGAATTAGAGCTGATTTTAAGATCCATAATATGAGCATTGGGTGTACAATGACATCAATTGAAACAAATTTCAGGTTGAGCCCTATTGGAAACAAAGATGGAATTCTCAGCATGCAGTATAGTGAATTGGAAATTCCTGCAGAATACAGTGATAGATGTACATGCTCAGAGGTAGTGCGAGGGGCTGGGAGTGGAGGCAGATGAATAGGAGCCATGAGTAATGGCAGCCTAGGAAATGAAGACAATGTATAGCAGTTAAATTCCTACTTATCCCTCAAAGACTAAATCAAACATAACCCTGAGCACAGTTCCTTGAACAACATGGACATTCATTCAGTAATAGCAGCTGCTTAACTGACTGACTGAAAGAATGAATTTCTACAGCAAGTTTCTCCAACAATTACATCCCATGGTGGGTGACCCTTTCACTTCTCAGCTTCTGTGGCACTTGCCACCTGGGCCACTCATTAGGCACCCATATGTGTGTACTTCTGTTAGATCTCACTCTCTGCATATGCTCCTTTCTTACCAGCTGGCTTTGAAGCTGCTTAAGACAGGGTCACAATGTAAACCTCTTGGTGTTCTCCACAGCTAGTTGTATTTTGGAGTTGTATGAAAGAGCCACCTTACTTCATTTCTTGCAGAGTGGATCACAATATTGAGCAAGCCCCAGGCCCAGCTAGATTGCAAAGGAGAGGACAACACAGACAGTCAGAAAGTCGATCTTACTACAAGAACGTGGTTGCCTGGACCCTTCACAGCAAGAAGCTGCTGTAACTGCTTTTCCAAGAGAGAAAGGCCATGGCTGATGAAGGCAGACCCAGTACTTCTGCTCAGAGAAACCTCGGGGGCTGGCCTACCCCTTCCCTGGAGCACGCTCTGCAATTAATAGTATCTGTTCTTTAAGTCATGTTAACCCTTCCATCACTAAAAGGAGGTTTTGTATACTAGGTGGCTGTGTCCGCCTCAAATCACCCATCAGCCATTATGACAGGTTATTTGTGTTTTACACAGGATGCCTTAACAGCTTCCCAAAGAAACCCACTCACCTGGAGTCCATTTAACAAGTCATAATATACCCTAATGATGTGTTTTTTAAATCATTAGAAAAAAGATAGTGTATATTAATTGGTAACATTAACTCATTATGGCATATATTAAAAGAATTTGCACAGTTCAGATTTAAGCAATTTCCTCATTATTATCTTTATAGGTTCACTATGGAAAGTAGATTTTATATCCCTTGTTAACATATGATAAAAAAAAAAAACACACTGAGGCTCAGACACTAGAATTCACTTGAATAATATCACATTGTTCGAAGTAGCATTCCTGGAACTCAAATCCAAGTCCAGTTTATCTACAGCATTCCTCCATACCACAGCTGCTGTTAAACAACAATGATCAGCATTGTTCTTTAGAGATTATCAATCTATTCCATACATGTTTGATTTTATCCTTATAGGAATTCTGGCAAGTAGGACTGACAGGCAGTGTTCTCTTTTACAGATAAAGAAACTGCAGCTCAAAGCACGTCAACTGTTTGTGTGAAGGAACGTGGACAGTAAGTGGCTGGATGGGAGAAGCGTCTGTGAGGGACATGCTAGGATGGCTCTTTCCCCTGCAGCATGACAGGCCAGTGATAACCAAAGGGCCATTTAGTATGTGCTCGTGTTCTCCCTAGTCGTTTTTTCAATGAACATACTGTCAACCAGGATGGCAAATTAGAGGTCCTTGGTCATGAGGGTAACACAGGGAGGCTGGTGGCAGTGGGCAGCCCTGGTACCCTACTCACAAGTCCCAAGAAGCAGCATGCAAGCAGCTGCCATGGCTTCAGGGCCCCTGTGGTGTAAACGTGCAGGCTCACTGCAAAAGTGGTTTATGACACAGGCTTTGGTGTCGGAGAATTCTGGGTGAGTGCTAGGCACGGCTTGGCCTATTGTGAACTAGACAGCCTTGGGCCTGTAGACTGGAACACCAACAGTGCCTTCTTCATGGAGCAGTTGGTGCTGGCCTGTGGAAATAATGCTTAGAAGGCACAGCACAGAGCCTAGTACAGACTGAGAGGCACAGTAGCACAAGGGGTTATCTACTCCCAGAGGCACTGATAGCCTCCAGGCTAGGAGGGAAAGAAGAGACAGGGACATTGAAAGTGGGATTTGGTCCTGCTTTTTTCTCATAACTGATTCTCAGTGGATGTTATCAAACATCTGATTTCCTTACTCTTTCACTGACACAGCCCCTGACAGCTCAGAGGGCACCTGCCACAAGAATTTGCTCCCTGTGGAGCTAGTCTGTGGGATGGATGCCATGCAGGGGAGTATCAGGTTCTGAGAGAGGGAGGGGGACTTGTCCATGGCTACCTGTTGTTTATCTGGCAGTATGGAGGCCAGAAACCACCCCTTTCATCTCATTATCCCCATTTTGGTGTCTCTTCATGGCTCTCCTGGCAAGCAAAGCAGAGCCCCAAAGCTCACCATCAGGAAGACATCAAAGGACACCCCCCCAGCTCCCACTCCAGGGACATCCCTGTGACGATGTTGGTGCTGAACCCCCACACTGGTATTTCCTTGGCTGAGCGCCTGTCTGTACTTTGCTCAAACTCTTCTCCAGGCCTCAAGTGCACCATTACCCCAGTGGGCTGACCTTGTGTTTCTCTCTTTTTTTCAAAACAAGAGGAATCTGCTACATCCAAGAGGGTCCATTTATTGTTCCTTAATTTTACTTGTCTGTCCCAAATCCATACTCCTTTTCATTCCTTTTCCTGGGTCTAGAATATTTCCTCGTTCTCTTCCTGGCCAAATTACACCTCCTCTCAGGTCAAACTTTTGTTTTTTCTGATCCATAAATCCTCCCTTACATTTGCCCATTCCTTCTTCCTTTGAATTTGAAGCATTTATTATCTGGCTATTTGTGATTGTCCCCACACATCTTTGTGGTATCATTAACAGATGTTTATGCCCTATTTACCTACCCATATTAGGTTCTCTTTGGGATGAAAAAGTCCCATCTCAATTTTTATAACACTTTTATCTTATAGCCAATGCCTGGCACATAGTAAAAAAACTCAATAAATGCTTAGTGATTTGGCTAACTTGGAATATTATATTCTTGGGAATTGCTATTAATTTAGTCCAGAATTATGCTTCCACATGCTTCATATCAGTAGTTTCCATTTATTAGGTCTCCACTATACAACTTACATTTTGCCAAGTATTCCACATTTTACATGATCTAACACTTGGAAAAACTTGATGTTGGAGATATTGCATTGTTTGTCATGTTTCATACAACCAACTGAGGCATAGAAAGATTAAGTAACTTGCCCAGATGTGCACACCTGGTAAAATAATGGAGTCAGAATTCATATACCTAACTACCACTTTATACTGTTTTCCAGAATTTGATTGGCTTTGGGATTCCTCATACACCATATGTACACAGTAAGGCTGTGTTGTGGATGACAATGAAGGCTGCTGATAATGTTGACTCACGAGATTCCAAGATGGAAAGCTGTTCTCACCTCAAGTTCCAGGAAAGTGAACTGTCCCTAAAGGCAGAATTTCTAACCATTTAGATACTGCATTACCTACAATGAAAGGGGGGAAAAAAATAAGAGGCTTATGGTAATTAGAAGTCAGATTTCAGCTATTGGTTTGTTTTTCTGTTTAAAATGCATCTTTTGGTCTTGTAGCCACCTGCGAGATGTGAAAACCCTTCTCTAGCAGTGTGAATACTTGCACCTTGCAAACATGTAAATTCTTAAGGGATCTTAGTGGAATTTCATTTTCTATAGCAGTTCACTTCTAATTATAATTGGCCAGCTGGTAAATTTCCCCAGAGAATGCCTAAAACACAGACTTCTTATCTGTAATGGAAATATCACTTGTCCCTTTATTCTCATACTGTGTACTAGTACTGGGTGAGGTAGCCCAACTTAAGGAAAGAGAACAAGAAAGAAATAGGAGAGACTGGTCAAGTCAGGGTAAAATCTGCTTTTAAAATGCAGAGCATTTGTTTCTCCTACAGATGTTTCTATGTGGAGCCTCTAGGTTCTGGGCTCATGCATAGATCAGGCTTTTGTTTCGTTTATGTTTTTTTTTTAACCCCCTGAAAGCTTCTCTTGCATTTTGACATATTCTGGAATTCAAAGTACTGTTAAAAGAGAGAGAGACAGACTACCTTTTTTTTTGACATCTTTTTATTGGAAGGTTAAAGATCTTTTCACCTAGTAATTAATTAGGCTTTGACAGGACCCCAGAGACAGGTCACTGTCGCACAGCATTCATAATGGATGTGACTTGGACAAATAAAAAACAAAACAAAACAAAACTGCTTCCCTTAGGCCACATAACAAGATCTAGGTAGACATGGGCCTACAACTAGAAAGGCCCATCTTTTATACTTACAAAATAAAGGCAAGTCTAGGACAAATGGAGTCATATCTTATGATTCTCAAACTGCATCGTCTTTTCCAGAGCTACCCAACATTTGTAATTTCAGACTGAATGGGACAGATTTTAGATTAGAGAAGTATGGACGCCAGGATAAAGGTATCACAAAGTGTGGGCTAGGACCTGGAAATCTACAGATGTAAGAGAAAAACAGATGCATCTGATGATTAACCAGGCATGGACACCCTTGATTTAAGCCATGTGCCAATCACTCCAGCCTGTCCCAGAAGGCTCTTCTGTGAATAAGTAGCTCCATGCAGGAGAGGGGCTTAGGAGATTTCAGCTTTACTCCTGACTCAGACACTATCTCGCTGTGGCTTTGGACAGGTCACCCCAGTACTGTTTCTTCATTGTAAAAGGTAAGAGTTGGATGACCTTTGTAGCTGTAATGTCCTGGGATAGGAGAAAGAAGATTCAAATGAAAAAAATCAAAGTACCTTCACTAACTCTGTGGCCCCTCCCTGTTTCCATCTTCTTTGTAATCCAGAAGGCAAAACCCCCAACCACACCCAATCTCCTTCTCCTACGGGGTGCCTGAGCTAAGCAGAGTGGCACAGACAAGAGGTGCAGACCTCTCTGCATTCATAAGTGACAAGGCACTGTTTTTAAAGAATGGGGGAAATGGACTGGGTTTGTAGAAAGAGAAGAGAAACGAACATTTGAAAAGCTGAGCCTACTAAACAGCAAAAGCAACCTAAGTGTATGTGTGTCAGGGTGTAAAACGAGAATTACAGAAGGAAAAATCTCTGAGAATAAGTGAAATTCTTCTTTTCAGGCAAATCTTCAGTAAGAGTTCGGTAAGTGTATTAGTCATAGGGCCGGAGTGTTATTTCCTTAAATAAGTGTTTCCCAAAATCTGTTTCACGGATCACTAGCATAATTCTCTGTAGATGCTACTTGAAAAAGTTTGGTTTTTGGCATAAAAACCTGGATAATAAATACATAAGTCTCCATAATGCCCATTAGAATAGTAAAGATAGTGGTAATCCCAGCAGTTAAAATGAAATAAATGCCTGCTAAACAGAACTATAAAAATGCTCCCCTCCAAAAAAACATTTATCAAGTACCTACACAACTAGTGTTCTGCGGAAGATGGGTCGTCACTTGTAATTGTGCAGTTGTACACAGCACAACTGTGAAATAGTTGCCATTAGTCTTGTAGTCACCACAAATATGTGTACCTTTTAAACCGTCATTTGTTTTTTGGCAGATGGCTAAAAGGAATGCCATCCCTTGAGGAAGTGATACATTTTTTTCCCCATGAGTCACAGTAATTTACCCTGTAGAGTAGTGGCAGGGTGAGGGAAATCCTATTTTAAATCACAGAGAGATCCTTTACAGGGGCAGCAGGCAGGGTATTACCTCTTGTCTTGCCAATGGGTTTCAGTCCTGGGCAAGTTCACTACGGATTCAGTGAGACCGAGGAATGACAATGGAATGTTCTTGGGGTGAAAGGGTTATACCCAACTTTATTCTCACGGTGGCAGGTCATTCACTAGAATCCCATCTGCTCAGAGACAATCTGCATGCAGCAAGCCTGTCTCTGCCTCTGGGCCTCTCTATCCCCGCAGCCATCTCAACCTCTGTCCTCAATGTTACCACCACTCCAGCCTTGTCTTTGCTCTCCTGCAGCCATGCCACCATGTCACTCAGAGCACCAGGCAGAGTTCTTTTATATAGAGTCAATAACAATGTATTGCCCACATGTGTGTAGCGAGCCAGCCACTCTGGAGCCAAGTGAGAATCCTGGCCACAGGAAGCTTCACTTTATCCACACCTCTCCTTGAGAGTTCTTTAAAGGTGCTACACTGAATTGCATTCTTGAAATTCTAGTGTTTTTGAACGGTACATAGCTGTTTCAGTGAACTTTAAAGTCAGTTGCTTTCGGTTATCCCATATCTTTAGCTGTAAATATTCTTATGTTTCCCTCCTGAATTTAACTTGAAATCAGCAAATGACTATCATCTGTGACTTGGGGCAATAAGCATTCCAAACATCCAGCTTTCTGTTGTTGCAGGAGAGGAGGATTTGTGGAATCAATTAACTTTAAGGGTTCAGTTGCCTGTTGGATTTGCGTCCAGTGATTACTGGAGTGAAGGAAGCCATAGGCAACGTTTTAGGTTCTAACGCTGACTCTGAAAGCCGTATGTAAATGTCACGGGCTCTAACCCAGTTCCTTCAGATGGGCAACAGATATCCTCATTTTTGCTGTATGGAGATCAAAGATACTAAATGATGTATTTACAAAAGAACTTTGTAGACCAAAACACACTGGTTCCAAAATTACTAGTTAGGTAATTGCTGATTATCAAGCCTTGTTTCCTTGTATCAAGCTGGAGGTGCAACTTACACTACATTTCTGGTTTGCGAGCTCCTTCCTTTAAATTCTACCAACAGGGCACAGTAACAGGAGATAAGAAAGCCATAGAATAAGGGGTTTGCTCTTTGCCTATTACCATTTACTGGGTGCACACATCATGTGTGTACTTTGCCTGCCTATCCTCTTAGCAACACCCTAACAAAGTAGCAGTTTATTCCCTACCAACAATGGATTCTGCCTTGTGGATTTCCCCAGCAGTTGCAGAATCAGCCTCACTGTTCCATTCAGACTCCAGCACCTGCCTGCCAGCACCCCTTCAGAGTCTGGGTCCCAGCTAAGTGGGCACGTCACCTTTGCTGGGGGATGCCTACGCCACCAAGCAGCAATCCCTTCTCACGCACCTGCAGTTCTCCTCTTTGAAACTCTGAGTTTCTAAATTTAATCTCAAACCCTCAATGTTCCTCAACCTTAGGGCTGGTTGCTGCTTTCTATTGTATCAGGTCTTAGGAGCATCCTGATACATTAAAAAAAAAAATGTTCTCTTTCTATATCTTCAATTATTCAGTACCTAAATACCACTTCTGTCTAAATGATAAGTATTTTTTGTTTTTAGACTCATACTGAGAGTAAATTTGTGAACCAGGCATGGTTTCCTACCACTCAGCCTGGCATATTCACACTTGGTTTCCATAGTTAAACACGTAGGCGTAGTCTTCTCTTACACAAAAAAGTACAGTCTGTTGTTTACTATTAAAAACATCTTATTACCTTGGTTGAACTTGGTGGTCCCACTTCTGCTAGATGCATGAATCCAAAAAAGACCTTCCTTTGTTTTTAAAACTAAGTGTAACTGCTATATGAAAGGGCAACCATCTCTTTGTCTCAAAGTTAAGAAGTAATTAATAGTAGTGAGGGTACAAACTGGAATGTGTACCCCAAAGGGTGTCCCAAACCCAGAAATAATACAGATTAAAACCAAATCAGTAAAATAGTATTTAGGAAGAGTTTATTGTATGTAGGACAGTTTGTGAATGAGAATTCTTCAAATCCAAATTTGATATGAAGCTCAGAGACATGTTACAGAATAGCTTATAAAGTGAAAATGAGTTGCTTAACCTTGACAAAGATTGGTTATTACAGTAGGGTTTTTTAGATGGCACAAAATTGGTTAAAAGTAATTTGACTTAATACCATTTTAGGAAAATGAATTAATTTTCTTGTAATTGTCATAGGCATTTGTAAGAAATAGCTAAGTTACATTTATGTTCATAAAATAAGCTTGTTCTTGTTTTGCTTACGTGGTTTAAATGGTTTTGACTATTCAGGGAATTTTCGAGTTTGGGCTCCATCTTGTATTTCACTTTCATGAGCAGTAAAAGTACATAAATGTAAATGTCATGTGATAAATGTTAATATGGAGAAATACAGGTCTGATATTTCAGATTGTACTATACATATTTTACAAGGAACCAGCAATACACATTTTTATTTGAATCTCCTAATTTTTAAATATGGCTACCTTTTTATTAAATACCATGTGGGACAGGCAGAGCTTTCCTGTGAACCAGATTTGGTCTTCTGAACATCAGTTGTCAACCCCTATTTTAGAGAGTCTGAAACCTTGTCTGACAGCCTGGTCTGAAGACATACTGTATGGTAATCATGTCAGTAGAAGAGGAAGGAAAAACACCCTCTAATCAAGAGGAAAGTTATTAAAAGAAGCAATTGATCACATCATCATGATTTCAAGATCTATTGCTGAACAAGTGCTCTCTATTTCTGTAACAATTTAGACAAGTGCAGCATTATAAGAATCCCTGTTGAGAAATTTTAGGAATTGAGGTAGAATGAGAAAGATATTCTTATATATATACAGTCATTTAAATATAATCAACATCCCTTCCAAATATAGACCTTGAAATAATTATGTTAAGTCTTAGACAAATAAATGGTATAAAAGTTACATCTAACAAGCCACTACTGTTCTCTAGAGCATGTTTGACAAGTTTGGGTTTTAGCTGATGGGAGGCGTGCACAGAATGGCTTTTTTTAGTAACGTGTCTTCAGAATTTTCAGGTGGGGGAACCAAGTCAATACAGATCAAGACATTTTTGCAGGTGGTGACTGTAGTATTGATTTTGAAAGGATTCCTGTTTGAGGTGAAAATGAGTATTTAAGTAAGGATTACATCAGTAAGTCAGTCCCTTAAGTTCTATTGTGAATTGCTTGAGAGCAATCTAATCTTATTTTTCCCTTTCCTCTGTTTTTGCTCAAGTGCTTGCATTTACTTGGGTATCTGCCCCTTTTACCCCTTGCCCACCTGTCAGTTCCTTAACTGTTCTGTATGGCACAGCTTCTAACTAAAGGGCCTCCTCAAACCTCCTTAGTAAAAGTCAATTATGCTTGTCACAGTACAGTATTTATATGGTTAACTTCTATGCTCCCTATTTGTTTTTCTTAAAATATCTCAAGCAAGACTTTTTCTCTAACTCTAAATGTAGTTATTTTCAATATAGTAGTATCCCCAGCCTTTCACCCTTCTCTTTAACACATATCACCAGCAATCTCATAAACACTCATTATTTGAATCTTAACCAATAGCTAGAGGATTCCAGAACTAAAAACTGGTATCTATTTCCTCAGAACTATGGACTGGTAATACTACCTGTGGAGTATATTCAGCAGAATATCATCCAAGATTCAAAAGAAAATATCAACAGCATTTATCTATTC